CTCAATTACTTAATTCGTTCTAAATTAATTAGGCACTCTTAGGCTCATTGCCTCTTACGTCTCGCATTGCAGGAATCAAAGCAAAAATAACAATAGTAGAGGCAGATGCCGCCTGCGGTAGCGTTCCAGGGCGCCGTCAACGACGCCAGTCTATATAGACGCGGCCGACGACGTCGATATAGGCAGGTTTATGGGGGACGGATGGGGAGTTAAATGCTGATGCGTGGCGTCGCGATGTTTTTTCTATTGATCTCTATCTCATTTTGGAGACCTTTGCACCGTTGCTTTGCGTCGAGTTCGCTCTAGCTGTTGTCGTTGCCAATATTAATTCTTCACTCGGCGTCGGATTTCGCTGGTAGGCCTCTTACCGCAACTGCTGTATCGGGGGACCGACCGGGGTGAGTGAGACCGCCGAATCTCTACGACAAAAAACACTGAACCGAAACGCTGAACGTCGCTGAACACCGAGTGACGATCACCACTCGCGTCCGCGATTCTTGTGGCCATCTCGGCATCGAGCACCGGCCAGTTACCAGAGTTCGCCGTCGGCAGCAGCGCCTGCGCTACTACGGCCAGCCAAGAACAAATCTCGATACGATGGCGATGCAACGAACGCCACTGCTGCTTTTGTTGCTACTGCTACGGGATACAAGCAAGCAAATACTCCCTGTTCCCTCAGCGTCGCCCAGAAAGGCAGCAAAGGTTATTTACTTACCGACTGGGCTTTGATGAGGCCAGGCTGGCGGTGGCGGCAAATCACGGCGGCCACAGATGGCGATCTCTTCGATGGCGTTACTCGATTTTGCCCTGTGACAAACACGTCATCATCATCATCATCATCATCAGTAGCAGCAGCAGCAACAACAGGAACGGCATCACCCAACAGAAATAGCGGGCACAGAGTCGTGATTCTCCTATGGTGTTTTTAGTATGCGATTGTGGTAACGGCAGTAAGACTCAGCCGTTGCCATCGCTAAGCGGGCATTGTTGTCACTCTAGTTCTTGCTTTTGTCTTTCAAAATAAGACTAGCATCGACCGGTAAAAAGTCATCGCGATAGATCAACACCGCCTATCACTGGCTTTTCCTGGCGCTGGTCAATGATAACAAAACGTCTTGTAGTAAGAACAGAAGTAAGTAAAGAAAATATTAAAAGCCAAAAATATCTCTTTTCGTTAATTAAAATGTTATGTAAAATACGCTAGTTAAGATCACCACACCTTCCGGTTAGACAACGCACCTTCTCATTTGATACGACCCTCGCTATATGGATAGGGTAAGGAGTACATTATAGCTGAATATTATCGGGCACTGCTAATCATGTCCATCTCAATAATTATATTTTCGTAGAGAGAGAATCTTTTTTGCCATATACATAGCGTGAAAAATGATTGCGCAGACCAGTTTCGATTAACCCGTGTTGTTAGATACTAGCTAAGGGCCCCTAGTCCTTTCGTCGACTGTGCCATATGTCTGGACAACGCTGTTTTTTGTGGCGGTGACAACGAGCAAACGTCAAAAATCGTTAGTAAGCATGTTTATCTTATTTGGAATTTGCAACGATCGTTGTGCGATAACATTTACTATATATTTCTTCGGGAAAATTCGGTGTAGAAAATATGGGGCGGGGAACAAGGGACACGAGACCATTTGCAGGGAACGGGTAGCTTAACGTGGTGGAGATCGATCGTTCCATGAAACCTGGACAATATAATAGCTTTCGGAACGCCTTCGTCGTCTGTGGTTGTACGTATGTGTGTATATGCGACCGTCGCAACAAGAGGAAGGCCTAGCCGCTGTTTGTACGGTTGAACTGAATATCTCATGGCAGTATATGGGTGACTGTCTGCTTGATTGTGTTCCGTTTGTGAGTGTCTTTATACAGGTACAAAGGGTGAGCAAAATATCCAATCTTTTCGCGCTGAACGAGCCTCGACCAAAGTCAATACCTTCTTCTTTTACTTCAAATCGAAATTATTTATATGGTTCCTAGCTGTCATGCGGCTTCTGAGGTATCCGAGGAAAATTTTCGTGAGGGAAATCGCAGAATTCTTAATAGGTTTTAGAACTAAAGAGTTCGAAAAACTCATGAGAATGGCTCAAAAGGCTATTTTTGTCTGACATCTGAATTGCTGATACAGGAACCAATGGTGGTTTCGGAGAGGAACATAATAATTGTCAAGTGTCCAGGTAAACTCCAACGGTTAGTCTTTTTGAGACCTGTTGCGTCTTTGTGGACATTTTGTATTTAGCGACCGTTTTGAGCCGTGGCACTTTTGAGACTCTTAGCAAGAATTTTTTGCATATGGCGTATTTAAGCAAAACTCCTACAGGTTTATATTCAGTAATGTCGTTTGACACACCGTTACCCTTAAATAGTTGTTTGCGAGTTGAGTTAAAAAAGGTTAGTGAGTCAGTCGTTTTCGAGTCGAATCTGTAACCGTGGTGAAGGGTACTTATATTGAATAAATATCACTGTAAATAAAAAAAAATTACACTTAGAGTACATGTGGAAAAAAAATCATTGAAAGATTTGTTTTTATTTAAGTGTTAGGAATAAAACGTGAGAGGACATCCTAATTTAGGTGGTGTACCCTACAAAGAGTAAAGTGCCTGTCTTTCCTGTAACGCGCTTCTATTCCTACGCACTGTCGCTTTTACTTCGACTCTTTTGTCCAGTGCGGCCTGGTTTACGAGCAGCGGCTCTCTGCCTCCATTGATTTCTAGCTGGCTACTATATCGACCGGGGGAACCGTCGAAAAAAATGGTCGATTATTCAAAATACGTCGTTGGTCGCTTGTCATCCACAACAATAGTCAATTACCTCAGATCGGACTCGGTAGAATAGATGAGATACATGAACGCCCACATATAGCTTTCTAAGGCAATAGTTTGATCCAATTCTATTAAAAAGACACGAAAAAAGGGGGCTATGGCATGATAGTTGGAGCCCAAACAACAATTCAAGGTCACTGGATAAACAAAACGATGACGCCGCCATTGTTTCAAGCGTTATCCTAAACCTTCAACGTTATTGTTACCGTGGCCGACCTCGAATTGAGCTTAGATAGCCGATATTTCAAGCGAACTTGTGGGCCGAACTCAAATCAATAAAAGAGAAGAAGGATACCAGTCCTAGGATACCAGTCAGCTGTACTTCTAATCATTATTGACAAGACCGCAAAGACATGAACACTTGTTACGCAATACAAGCCCTGTGCGAATATTGGAAAATACTTTAGTTGACATTCAATGTATTATTTAAAGCCCACAATAATTTTCTTCTGTCTTCTCTCTAAACTTTATCCCTCTTAACCTTATCCAAAAAACTGTCAATTTTTTTTCTGACACCAAAATGATTGCTCCTTTGTACCAACATGACTGTTTCGACAACAACTTTCTGTGCAACACCAACTGAACGAAGACACCTGTTGCGGCCTCTCGGCTAACGTGTTTGTCGCTTTCCCTGAGGCCGTCAAACAGCTCCCGTCGAACCATCAAAAAGATCAGCCCTCTTGGGAACTGTATGGAAGGCAGCCGTTTACTCGTATACCTGTAATGGTATGGCAATAAGTCTTCGCGTGGCCTACCTCGGCGGCTGTTTCTCGGGGGGCGGAGTCGCCGCGCGTGCCGGCCCTTCGATCGCGGCGTACGTATCGCGATACGGAGACCGAGCGCCCGAAGGCTCGAGGCGCCAAAGATCGAACATTGATTGGCCATCGGGCCCCAGCGATAGCTGGATGCCTCCCGCTGCGGAAGAAAGGGAAGTACGGTGCTTCTGAGAAAGGGCAGGCCCGATGGGAGGGCCCTGGGTCAGTCAGGGACGCTTGGGAGGGCTTCGCTCGCTTTGTGCGAAACGTTGCTGCAGGAAATGGGTGTTGTGTGAATATCTGTGTGTGTATGTGTCCGCGGAAGCAATTCGGCCTTCGCGCATCGACAACAAGAAGGCTCCAGCTAACCGACATTACGTTGAATGCGATGCTAGTCCGATCACACACCGACGCTGGCGCAAGTAGTTTTACGCCTATGGCAACAACAGCTGCAGCAGTAGCAGTACGTACCAATGACATCCCAGTAACTGCCGCCCAATAACTGTAGCGAACGTACTGAACGTGAATTCCACTGCTGTATGGATAACTACCGGCCTAGTGGGTACTTCCTCCAGGCCCTCTAGAGGGCGTTAGCGTAGCATGCTTGCCTGATGAACTTTTTTGCGTTCGCGGAGTGAAAAGCAGGGGGTAGCATAGAGAAGGAGGAATTAGCGATCGAAGAGACAGGAAAAGCTGCACGAGCGCGAGCAGCATTTCCTACAACTTCTATATATATGTATATATATATATATATATACATACATAAGATGGCTCAGCATTCGCCTGTAACGTATGAAGTGAATTCTGAGTAAGGCAGAGTCAGTCGAATGATCTCGCGTGCGACGGAGAACGAAAGCTAAGAGAAGTGTAGAGGTGGCAGCTTTTTTGCCGTTCTACATGGCCAGTCAACGGTTGCATGGTCAGACTATACATATCACCTCATCTCAAGCACCCAGCAGCTGCGGACAACGGGGCAAATCGTATCAGCCGATAAAAAGGGATAGCCTAGATTACCGATGCATTCGTCAGTTGCATTGCCGCACTTATATTCTTGAATTGGGCTCATTGCTTTAAGCAGCACAACAGTAAAGCGTGTGCAAATTCAAAACGAACGGGCTGGATCAGAACTAATCGCACTTGAGTCCGTCTTAGACGATACGCAATAAGCGTTTAAAACTCTGCAACTAAATAAGAGAGACGATCCTTGTCAGAGACTGTAGCAGGAACACTCTTACTATATATATATAGCAAGTTGGCTATAACTTGGAAATAACTATTTTTACGTAGCGATCTAAGTTCGTTACCTCTGCTAACTAAATCTTTCACTAGACAATAATATTAATAGGCATTGAGGTCACATTTGTGTTTATGATTTCAACTAACAGAGACTTGTTGTCTGTATACGTTATAGCGTGCCCCGCCTGCCCAAAGGGAGTCCGTACGCCTTCGAGATTACTCAGCTGCTGTGATGGAGGGCCCCTGTTCGCGGCCAACGACGCCCTCGACGCCATCGTTGGAACATCGCGAGGTAGCCCAATTGCTCGACGACATCCGCCGTTTACAGGCCACTGTCGAGGCGCTGCGCGAATCCAGCGCTAAACAGATCTCACAGCTCGAGCGGCTGGTCAAAGAGAAGAGCCGCACAATCCAGCAGCTCGAAGAGCAACTCGAGCGACAAAAGGACTATGATGATTTGAAGACGCAACTACGGAAGTTGCATAATGGCACTGCTGCTGTTGATCAATTGCAACAAATACAACAGCAGCAGCAGCAGCAGCGGCAGCAGCTGCAAGAAAACAGCTGTAGTAACAACGTCAAAAGTGAACGTGACAGCGCAGAGTCACCGCGGTTACACGACAGCTTAGTTGACGATAAAGCCGAAGAAAATGGTAAGCTCATAAACGATAAGGGGAAGATAACGAGATTAGCTATAGAACGTTAGGTGGTATCCTATCTTCAATGCGTTTTATATATGTGAGTATTATTAGAGAGAATTCTACAGAGGAAAGAATAATAATAAGCGTGTTGCATAAAGTTAAAGTATTACATTAAAAATTACATTTAATATTTTAACGAGTACTCCGAAGACTTTCTCTTCGAAAAGTACTTGATGATCACGAAAGATGTTTATATTAATTATTGTATTTTTATTTACCTCTATCGTATGGTTAGTAAATTGTTGCAGAATATATGAAGATACTGTTTATCGTGCATTTCAAACTCTAGCTACACCTGTCTCAATTAGTACAAACAAACGCTGGCGTACCGTTCAATAACATACAGTGTATAGCATAGTTACGATTTAATGTTTGTGTATGTGTGTTTATTAAAGAGCGCGGAAGTCTGCAACAAAACGTTGAGGCGTTTGGGTCGCTCTTGGGGGAGGAGATCGTCTCGACGTTCTCTCGAATGCTCAAACGGGAAGGCTCAGAGCCGGCACTTCCGTGTGGACAGTCAAGTCCGCCTGCCACACCGAAGTCACACGATGACATGTCGTCAGGGACCGAAGGCTCCGGCTCGCGTTTCGGCGAGGAACACGCCGCCAGTCTTGAGCGCCTCCAGGAATGCCTACGTCAGAACGTCGACAAGTATCAGTCCGAAGCGTTAAATACGGGCAACATTGCTAGATGCGTCAGAGAGCTACTCAGCGTGCATAATATTGGGCAGAGGCTTTTTGCCAAGTACGTTCTGGGTCTGTCTCAGGGCACCGTGAGCGAACTTCTCTCGAAACCAAAACCGTGGGACAAGCTGACCGAAAAAGGCCGCGACTCATACAGAAAAATGCATGCGTGGGCCACGGATGAGAACTGTATCATGATCCTCAAAGCACTCGTGCCACGCAAGGGCTCGAAGGATACGCCGTCCACCCCGGTCGGTGCTTTCCGTCATGAAGACCTTGCTGAGGACCGAATCGTTCAGATCCTTTCCGAGGCCCAGCAGGCAATGATCACGCCTATGACACCGAAGAAGGAGGAGCCCGACTCCGACAATGCCGACAGCCCTCAGAATCTCAGCAAGAAGAAACAGGATGACAAGGAAAAGGATGGTGTTGATCTACCGCAAGATATCAACCACATTGCTCGGTTCTATCATGAAGAACTGGCCAAGCTAATGGGTCAGCGAGTCGAGGATAGTTTCCGCAACCCCGCGCCAGCTTACGACATGAAACAAGAAGAGGTTCGACAAGCTTTATCGATCTATCACCAGGAGCTGTCGCGACTGTCGCTGGCATTGGCGCCCGGCCACGAACTGGCCCGCTTCGGCGCTGCTTTACCAGGCGCCTTATTCAATGGTCTCAACCTGCAAGCCATCGCCGACCCGCGCGGTCGGGAAGCGCTCGAGCGCCAACAGCAAAGCGCGTTCTCGATGGTACAAGCTGCGCAGGCGGTACAGGCTCAGCAGCAGGCTCAGGCTCAACAGCAACAGCAGCAACCCAGAAAATATCCGGCGCAAAGCCCGCCCGCCGTCTTGAGCGTGCCCGAGACATCCACTGCCGAGGACAGCAGCAGCAACCCCTTGCAGCGGATGCAGAGCATTACCAACTCACTCCTGACGCAGTCAGCGATGCCGGCTCTGGCAACACCCAACCCACGTCAGGCCAAAGCCGTGTTACCCCCCATCACGCAGCAGCAGTTCGATAAATACAACAACCTAAACACCGAAGAGATTGTTAAGAAGGTCAAGGAGCAGCTTTCTCAGTACTCTATTTCGCAGAGACTCTTCGGCGAAAGCGTACTGGGACTCTCCCAGGGATCGGTCTCTGATCTTCTCGCGAGACCTAAACCGTGGCACATGCTCACTCAGAAGGGTCGGGAGCCCTTTATCCGTATGAAGATCTTCCTGGAGGACGAACAAGCCGTGCACAAGCTCGTCGCATCACAGTACAAGATTGCCCCTGAGAAACTTATGCGCACCTCGGGATTTACCGCTGCCACTATCCCAAAAGCACCACCTGTACGCCACCACTCAACCGCCATGCCATTTGAGCATAACGCCGCTGCGGCGGCAGCAGCCGCAGCAGCGGCGGCAGCCCAAGCCATGCCGAAGAACTCTTCCATTGAGTCCCTTCAGGCCGCCATGAAGGAGCAGGTCCACCTCAATCTTGCGCAACCTCCCGCGGTCGCATTGGCCGCGCTTCAAAGGCAGATTCCCCTACCCAGTCATTCACCTTCACCGACACCCACTACAGCCGCCCCAACTGCGAACGCTGGCAACCTAAACTCACTTAACACCACTCCCAACAAGAATAATGCGGCCATTAGCAACAATCGCGTACCTTATTTACAGCCATCAGTCTACGAAATGGCAGCTCTTACCACGGACCTCGACACTCAGGTCATAACCGCTCGCATCAAGGAGACGCTGATGGCACATAACATTGGTCAGAAGGTAAGGAAAATAATAACACTTCGTAAAACACAAGTAATTATTATTACTGTTAATAATTCCGTACATATGACACATCGGCTATTGGTTACGGATATAGTTTGCGATACATATTGCAACAGTAGGCTATTACTACAACAGTATATATATACATACGAAAAAGATACCAAAAACAATCTATTCATATAAGCATAAAATACTAAATTGGTTGCTTACTTGCCTATGTTCATTACAGATCTTCGGAGAGGCCGTACTAGGTCTGTCACAGGGCTCCGTAAGCGAACTGTTGTCCAAGCCCAAGCCTTGGCATATGCTATCGATTAAGGGTCGAGAGCCTTTTATACGCATGCAGCTATGGCTAAACGACCCCCTCAATGTGGAGAAGTTGCAGGCTTTAAAGAACGAGCGACGCGAGGACCTCCGTCTGTTTGCGGCCAACAAACGGCGAAGGGGCCCGGAGGCCGATTATCCCAGGATAGACCTACCAGGTTTTCCATTCCCTTCGCCAAATTCACCGTTCCCGGCCGCCAAGAAGCCTCGGGTGCTGTTCACCGATGAACAGAAGGAGGCTCTGCGTCTAGCTTTCTCCATGGATCCCTACCCAGGAACGTCAACGATCGAATTCCTTGCAGGGGAGTTGAACCTCTCGGTGCGTACCATCACCAATTGGTTCCATAACCATCGAATGCGGCTGAAGCAGCACTGTTCGCCCAACCCCGACGATCCCCGGCCACCTGAGCTCAATCCGGCGATGCGCGACCAAGGTAATACGTTTGATCCAGTTGCTTTCCGCGCAGCGCTTGTCCAGCGTTTACGCGATCTGCAGTCTAGCGATCGATCGACGTCTCGCAATTCGACTCCACCAGCCATCTCGTACAACAGTTACTCGCCTTCGTCAACAAATGACGACGGCACCCTTGACTTATCAATGGCTACGGGGGGTCACAAGAGCGATAACGAAAACGACAATGACAACGACAATGACGATAGTCAGGAGCCGACAGCAACAGAAGGTAGCGATCGCGACTCGCTTGACGGCGCTGCTCAGGCTAAAACGTCTTCATCACGCAGGAAACCAGCCATGCCCAAGTGGATCGATCCGGGACTGAATGACTGCGAACAGGACGAGCACGACATACATGAGCCGGAGCTGATTATCAATGGGGTGTGCCGTGTGACCAACGATTTGCGCGCAGCGAAAGAAAAATTGGGCAGTCTTCTCGGTGACTCGATCGAGGTCGTACGCATCGATCCTGTCGCGCCTTCCCCTGCAGCTGACGACCTCAGCAGTAAGAAACGCGAAAGCAACAACAACACAACCGACGATAACAATTCAACCAGTCAACAACAGCTCACTCCAACACAAACCCATTCCGATGACGATTTCTGAACACAAATAAAGATTGATCGCGTGGAGCGTAGCAGATTTCTTCGATATGAAACGCTGGACCATTTGACTACTCGACTGAGTGGGGAAGCGTTTTCGCCGCGAGGCGCTGCTTTGGCCGAGCCGAGGCAGCGATCTAGCATGGGCTGCGAAGGCGCGTAAATAAAGCTGGCAAGTAAGGAAAAAAGCTAGTATACAAGGCAAATAAATACGTAGAAACAAACGCAACGCATCGTTTGCTTTAACTATCACCTTTCGGGTGCCAAAATGACGCCATTTATTAGTTTCCAGCAGGAGAAAACATTGCAGAGCATTCAGATAGGACGGAACTGAATTCGCCGGCTGACCGTTCATTGACCATCAATGAAGAAAACGATAAATATGATATCAAATAATGAAGAATAAGGAACGATGTTGTCAACAGTATCATTCATGCATGCACTTCTGTATATAGTTTTTTTTCTCGTTTAGATGATCATAATGAAGAGAAATAATTCATTCTAATAGTAACCTATGTTCACATACATTATCATCATGATGAAGACAATGACCATTAATACGAATACTAATATTGCCACTATATATATATATATATATATATATATATATACATACCTGTCGTTTAGAATACGTGTAGAATATATATTGTAGCACCGTCGCCAAAGAGGTCGTGCTAACGCACAACCGCGGTACTTAGGCGTTCCCCCCGTAGACGAATTAAAATATAAATATATGTACATCTATGTGAACACGAAAATGACACCATAATAATTCTAAAATGAAGAGAAAAAACAGAAGAAGCTACAAAATCCAATCATCTAATAGAATCTGTAACGATATAGAATGATCGCGATCACCGTGATAATTTTAATGACCCCCGCTTTGCCTTAGTCTTTCCCGCAACCATGTCCCAGACAGAACTTGCGTATTTGTACATAATGTTTATACGCCGCCGCAGTACTCATTCCCTTACCGTAGAACAAGCAAACCACAAATAACGAGAGCGAGAAGCTCCCTCAAACACGCTTGGGCTGGTACAGACACGTTCAACACGCATCTTAGACAAAACACAGTTGTCCGATAACAACAAGCAAATAAACAGACCGACCCATTACGAGACAAAAACAGAGCTGTCAGTGAACTCATATGTGACGTGTTTCGATCTTCCCCCGAAGCAGGCGGGGAGCAATAATGCATCTTCGGCTTGCTCCCCGTCCGCAAAGAGACTATATTAGGATAAAACACCTCAGCGGGGGCTGGATTCGGGGCACATTCATGTATGCAAACGGCCAACGTTTATTCATTCCAGGCGCCCATAAGATGGGACCTGTATATAGAATCTCTTTTCTGAGACTTACCAGCGGCCAAGTATAGTTGAACCGAATATGGCCTGGAAGCCCCGGAGCATTCATAAATAGAAATCCGAGGCTATTGCTGGCTTCGATTCGAAGACACGTTGGTAACGGCAGGGCCTTTAGAATCCTATGAGACAAAAACAGTAGTGCATACCAAAAAAATGCCACCCCCGACATATTCGCCCTTTGCGTTCAAAAAAGGGGAAAGACAAAGAAGGTAAAAACGTAGGAGAAGGAAAACGCAAAAAGGGAATCGGTGATAAAGCGACCGGAAATTGACTTTAGAAACTAGAGACGAAAAATTCAAAAGATGACACAAACACACACACACACACACACACACACACACACACATATGAAACACGTTAACTGTACTTAGCAAGGAGAGCGTAGAAAGGTGTAGTTGCGTCAGAAACACGTGACGTAACGTTTAATTGCATAATAACAAAACACTGTAATATTGTGACAAGATGTACCCATAGGAATCATAAAGATGAGACATTATTAGAATGACCTAGATCGATGCAAGGATATTGAACGCCATATATGGAATATGGGGGCGGTGACGTGCGGGCTCTAGCAACAACAGCAACGATAAGATCGATGCTAGCATCGAGGCGAAAACCGCTTCTCGCCATTCTTAGATCCTCAGTATTATTAAGGGTAACTTATTTTATTATTATTATTATTATTAATTGCAGATCTTATTATAAATATTTGTTATACACACACAATGGTCGTGTAAGTGGAATTGATCGCTGAAGGTATAACGATGAAATACTGGATTACAAAACACCCGCTGTACCATATATATATAAGAAATCAAGCTTGTTGCACACGCATGCCGGCCTGACTGAAATATTACCCAACAACCAATATATATATATATATATATATGTGTGTGTAGGACACAATCGATAAAATGAGCAGAGGACGCAACGCTTCCCGGTCCACTTCCCGGTGACATTACCCAAAAAAACACTCAAGAATAGTTGTAATAGTAGATTTATATAAATAATGATATGAGTAATATAAATAAATCTGTAAATATCTTCTTTATTAGCGTATTTCTCTCAGATTACGCACATATGTGATAACGCGAGAGAGAGGCAGACCAAACGAGAGAAAGTGGCTTTGTGTGAAAGGAAACGGAAAAGAGAGAAGCAAACATGAAAACACAACTTTAACATGAAGAGGAATGGTCGGTTCGTGTCAACTGGCACCGCGTGCGCGTAAGGCGGCAATCCCACAGCAATGGCTGGTTTGTCCAACAGGAAGCCGGCATTTTCCGTGGTGAGTGTTGGCGCCTTCAGTGTCAAAATTGCAGTCTTGGGGAATAGCCGTCTTCGTGGTCAGCTACCACAAAAGTCTCAGGGCTGAGCTGGGAGGCAGGTTATTCATGCGGTGGGGTAGGAGTCTCAGTCGATATGCATGATATGGACGCTTGCATTTGTTCCAATAGACGCGGATGCATGTGGGTCCAGAAGTCCTCGGGTCATGTTGTGATAGCCAATCATCCGGTAGTCCATTAAACTTCCTACAGGGATCTGTCACTGAGGGATGACAATATTGGATGGGTTGGTTAGTGTCAACGCTTTGGCGCGGACCCCAGTCATCGTCGTGACTTACCCTGACGCAGACAACACACAGAAGAATATCAAGTTGAAAAACACTTACATATACAGCAATCAAACACAATTCGTTACCACAACAGAAAATCACCTCCCCTACCCCCACGCTGGTCACCTGCAGACGCTCCCGCAAACGTTTTAGGACATCAACGTCTACAATGAGCTCGTGCCGTTGGCCTAGGCCAGATATATACAAGCAAGCAAATATTAGATACACGAACAGTAAAAACACACTCACTCACTAATATGTACACATGCAAGCACACATCTGTAGGACACACATCTTTAAAGACCTTGCCGACACTGGAGCAGGACGTGCAGAATAGAATCGAAAAGCCGAATTAGGAAAAGAGAAATTGCGAAAAATTGTACGTGAAGAAGAGGAGCGTTGGAAAGCAAAAATGAATGAGAATAAGTAAATGAAGGTATAAAAAAAAGTAAAAAGAAGATAATGAAACCGTAAAAGTGAAGAGAAAATTGTAAAAGTATGAAAAAAGGCAAATGCGCTATAGAGCGATGGCGGAATGAAGGAATGAACGAGTGGTGTGCAATGCAGCTGATCGATTATAATGATCATAATTATAATATTATTATTGAGGCAGAAGACGAATAATTACTAGTATAAAATAATAATAATAATAATAATAATAATGAGAATAAAATGATGATCTTGAATGTACTTGCATCTCGTAGAGGTGGCGATAAAGATGGTGAAGAAGCTGCTGCTAATTACGATGGCGAAGACAAAGATAATGGTAGTAAGTGGTGAAATGACGAAGGTTAAGATTATATAGATGTGTGTGAAGCTCTGGACCGAAGGTCTTCTCAAGTGTGTGATTGATCTTCGCATAAAATGATGACATGATAGAAGCTGATAAGCATGATAAGAGAGGACAACGGTTTATTTGTGCAGTCTGTGTTCATATTCATCTCGCGTAAGAACTGAGAATTGAATGAGAGATAGAGACAGAGAGAGAGAGAGAGAGAGAGAGAGAGAGAGCGAGCGAGAGAGAGAGAGAGAGAGAGAGACTAAACAATTGGTAATGCTGATAAAAACGATGAAAATGACGACGACATATTACCATACCGACGAAAACTCTGATGAACACGGTGATTATATAATAAAATGTAAAATAAAGTAACGAAATAAAGTTGATCTTTGCCTCGTCGAGAAGAACTACTACGTGTTCCATTTACATACGTGCACACGCGAGTATAGAACGTGTAGCTTACAGATCTTAGGCAGGACCTGTGCGCGACAAATCGCACTATTTTTATTCGTGTAGTTTGTTGAGAAGAGGTGTTAGTCATAGAAACTAACTTCTAACCGGTAATGGCTTTATTTTTAGAGTATATTGGGGTTGTTTCTATATTGCGCATTTTGGCTCCACGTTAAATACATGATGGTAAACGGAAGAGTTTTTCGACAATTGAAAAATGAAGGAAAACAATTCAATCTTGCGTCGATTTCAAAGTAGGTTTTTGTCTGCTCTGATAACGCATTGACCTTGGTAGACAGTATTCGCGTTACCTCTAAATTCGAATTTCTAATAAGTAATTGTGGGCGGCTTCTCTTTGCTGTTCGATACATTTAAAAGTAAAACAAAAAGTGTTGAAAAAAATTTAACACTGAAAGTATCTTCTATTGGGCTATAGCCTATCGATACCTACCGTAAGGTCTTATCAGATTAATCGGATATTAAAAAAATGGCTCCATTAAAAAGGATTAAAGAAAATACCACTGGACAATCATTTCTGAGAAATCAAAAAATTTTTCTGCTATTTTTTATGTTATTCAGCGCACTGGACATGTACTGGACCTGTTAAGCTATACTGTGTTAGTTAGGTGTAGGTGCTCCATAGATACGCTATTTTACTTTAGTTTTTGTTCAGGACGTGCAGCTTCAAAGGAGGATTAAATACAGACACATATAGATAAAATCCAGGCATACGCACATGTTATAGGTACCTATATAGCAAGTATAAATCAGTCTAAGTACGGCGGACGTAACTGAAGAGCCCCGGCAATGGTCATTAAATAAAACTACCTAGCAAAGGTAAAGAAGGTTATCAGTGTGCCTCAAATTATACTTAACGCCAATGCCAGATGTAAAGCTTCATTTTCTTTTGTATACGTGCGGTTCCGAGAGGTTCAAGATTGGCTGAACAGTCTGCAATACAAATGGCTTTAAAGAGCAGACTAAAAGCATATAAAACACACAAACATTTCCTTTATTTAAACTTTTTATATACATTGTCCATACTCTTTATTGCCTTGTTTATCTAAGTAGTCCAAGATATTTCTAGCTTGCTACTACCTCCAGGGTGTCGCTGTGTTATACAACGTGTCCAAACAAACACGGAACTCTACATTTAAGATCGCGTACTCTTGCGAAATGTAATATACTTGTTTCATTGGGATTTACCAACAGCGCATATCGACGCGTCTTTGTCTTTATCGTGCATTTAGAGGCCTTGATGAGAGCTGTTTGGTCATTACCACTAATAAAGGATAACAGTGTAGTCAGCGAAACGAAACACAGATTCCCTTTGATATCGAACTAAAAAATTTCTCAAAAGGCCAATTCAATATTAATAAAAGTGCTACGCTATCCTGAAAAGGACCGCATTTACCTCTCATGGCTTACGAGTTCTATTCAAGGACAAATATTGTCCATATTGATAGTGTGGAACCTTGATATCGTCTGAAAACGTTTATCGCATATTGACACCCTGTGTTGTTATTGTAGACTACCATCGCAAACGATTTAAACGCTTCACATAAAACACTGAGTCTCGTTACAAATCCTTCATTACTAATAATTTACTTATCGTTCGCCTCTTGCTACACACGATTTTGTTTGAAAACACCAAAACGACCATTAGCCAATAATGGTGGTTTTCAATGCTTTATTATGTTCAATAAAAGTTGACTTGATAACTTAATGACTCCTGAATAGATACATTGCCTATGGAATATAGACTGAAGTCTTCAAGGTTGTCCGGGTGTTTTGACCCAGCGAAAGCAACAACGTACGCAAAAACATCACTTTATTCAGGTTACTTGCGTACCATATATTGCAAAATATGTTAGAGTAATCTGTAGACTTTGCAATAACTTCTTTTACTAAAAACATGTTTACCTGTGTTACCTGTGTGATCTACTATTATGGAGCGTTTCTTGTCCGAGCATGTTTCTTTTTTATCTTGCAGAGAACCATTTCAGATAGTGCTAATGTACGCTAGCTAAAGGACACTTATTTTCAACTTCATAACCTTTGCTTTGGAAAAATGATGCGTGCGGAAAAGGGCAATGCAGTTCCACAAAGTTCACACAGTAAAGAAGTTAAAAAAGAAAGTCGAAAAGTAGCAAAATTTGTTGAACAAATAAAACAAAATTAATTTAAAAATATTTTCATCTTTACGAGATGTAAAAATAAAGGTGTTGGGTGCATTGACTGCTGGTGTGCAAAGATTTTATTTACATATTTAGTACTACGTGTAGCCCCCTGAAGCATTATACCACGGCGATTTCTAGTTATGGTGGTTCAGTCATTTACTGTTTTTTCGTAGCTTCTAGATACTCGGATGCCATAGCTGAATCTCATCTGTGACAGATGAACAGGGGCGGCGGGGCGGCGGACGGGGGTATGAGTACCTGCCGTGCCATGTGTAATATTTTACCTTTCATAAAATTATTAGATTAATAATTTTAGTAGGATTTATTTGTGCAATTAATTAACTATTAATAACAATTCACCCGTTTTTGGATCGATTCGCGTGCAACTATCATACTCTAGTTGTTGTGAAACAAACAATAATCCATGAGATAGTTTTTTTTCGCTATCTCTTATCCTTATTATCTTGGCGGGTTCGGTTAGACAAAAAGAAGAAACAACAACATGATAGAACTGCGTTACTGCATACCAAAACAAAGCTTTTTTGTTTGTTAAATTAAAACATATTAAAAGCGTGCCTATTGACAGCTGCCCTGATGTCCCTATCAAAGTATTGCCGTAGCTAATGCCATGCTTAATGGTACTATCGTCCCTTTTACTGAGTACATAGTAAGTTGAATTCTACTTAAAACAGGAAGCGGGCTGGTACCGGAACATTACCACTATCACCGTCATGAAGCTTTCCGCAGCCGAATAAATTTATTGTATCTTGTGCGCCTCCATGTGTGCCAAGTCGATTATCGGGAAGCAATACGCCCTTCTTTAGGGTAGAGCCTAATAGGCAAAACGTTTACTCTAAGCTTCGAAGATGCAATGGTCAAGGAGCAGATTTAAGCAGCACGGAGGCAGTCATCACAGTGCAACAGAGACAGATAGATAGAGTATCGAGAGAACACCTTGTCTGTGTAGTCTCTAGAATATTCGGATAAAAATTAATCGTGCCTCATTTGTTAGTAATTATATGCAGTTGTTTCAATTCCAAGCACAGCATGCGATGTTCTCAAACAAAATTTGCCGCCTAATTCACCGAAACATATGTACAGTTAGAAATGGAAGCACATCCGCAATTACTATGGTAGTCCAAATTCGTACCTTTTCGCGAAAACGTTGGTTGACGCGATCTGCATTTCTATCTACGGCACTGCCTTAATCGCGATGGCCACGAAGAATGAAAGAACTTCACATTATTTGCTATTATATGTGGCCGGATTAATGATTAGGCCACATTAAGCAGACGGTTTTTCCGACAAAACGGACAGATTAAGTAAACGATACCTGACGCAAAAGCGGATCGAACGATGTTCCCAGTCCCGCGCTGATAGGTAAGTAATAGGCGTCAATAAAGATCGAACAGATCGGTTCGGTTTCTATAGCCGTTAACAGTCATCGGGATGAGCTACAGCCGATAGTTGCATTAGCTACTGGTATGAATCAAGATCTGCTCCGTATTATATCTGAATGACAAAATTTAGGGGCAGACTGAAAAGCGCGTACATCGAAAACGTGGAAGCAGCTCCTAAACACTTTTCGGGAATGTGTGAGGTATAGTAATGAGGAACGGTGTTGAAACAAATAAAAAATATCTATCTGCAAATAAAAAAACAGCTCATCAATAAAACATTGAAGCTAATTCAATAACAAACTGGCTTCTGGAGTGCCGTCCGAAGCTAATTCAATAACAAACTGGCTTCTGGAGTGCCGTCCCACAGAAGACTGTGAAACCGTTAAACAATCCCGCCGAATTACTTCACCGAAACAAAAAAAAAAATAGGAGTTTGCTTATTGGTGATGTGTCAGTGAAAGTCCTATTGTTTCATTACTTTTTCTAAGTAGCTCAAACCAAGCAAAAAAATTACTTAATAAAACTATAACACTTCGTAATCGATCTATATCTACAACATGGAAACACTTCTGCCGGACTGACATCTGAATAAATGTCATTTATCAAGTATTATGTCGTAGGCTATTTATATCGTACAAAGACAAATACGCTAGAAAGTAATCGACAGCGGTGCATTCGCTATGCCCTGCTTAATATGCATGTAGCACAAGGAGATTGCTTTCGTTCTTTACTACTCTCTTATAGTAACCTATTGCTCGTGTTCATTATTTAATAACACACTTTCATGTAGCTACATCCGAGTCCGAGTTCCCGTGTCAAGACTTGAATTTATATTTCCTGAAATTACCAGATTTGAAGGATTTACCCTGCGGGGTGGACTTGCGTTACATTATTCTATATGTTGTGTTTTTTTGCAATTTCACTTTTGTACTTTCTATAAAAGTAAACTGTTTTGAAACAATTTCGCGCGAAAGCATAAATTTGACTTAGGTCTACTGCGCTGTTGTTCCAAATTTTCCGGTGTATATTCGTAGATACTCAGGGACAAAGTATGTCATGGAAAGAATAAAGGCAGGCTATAATGCGCAGTACTCTGTGGTTTTACTTTACCAGTACCTTCGTGCCCTCCTCAGTTCCCGCAACGCAGAACTCCTTTGCGCTCTTTCAAGTGACGCTACTGATTCCGAAGCTATCGATGCGTGTTCAGGCGCAGTTCCCCAGCATTTCGTACCCCTGCGTCCACATAGCTGGAAGGCAGTACGATGCTCTGCTAATGAGTCATGTCCTTCATCATCAGGTATCCAGCTTTTCTCCATTGCATCGTGGCATCGTGTGGCAGTCTTTACAATGTGCCCTATATTGCTCCACCTAAAGTAA